CTCCACCCAGAACATTCCTTCAGATATATAATATTAGATTAAATCTCACCAAAGTCGACCCATAATCGTTTCAATTCCGCAATGGTGTACAACAGCCAGTGTGTATTATATATATATATATATATATATATATATATATATATATATATATATATTAACTATATAAATATATATATAATCACATATATATATATTATACTTTCTTTCGTAGCCCACAAAATTCACAGAATACTCTCCTCATAACAATTTAAAGGCTGATGCAGATCGGTGAAAGAGTAAAGTCACCATATATATTTCTGTTCCAGCAGCTACTCAGACTTCCAGCGAAATTCCTTCCAGAGCGTCGTCCCAATCGCTCTCGCTCTTTTTCTGGCGGCCGATAGCGATCGTCATCCAAATATTGGCGGCTCCGGTGGATCGAGTAGCTGCCGGCCGCAGGTGCATCAGGCGGCGGGCAAGGAGATCGCGTTAGGGAGGGGCCCAGTCTTGTCTGGCGGTAGGTCAAGTGGACATATTCTGTCACGTACGCTTGGGCCTTCGCGCGGTTGGGCCTTCGCCCGGTTGGGCCTTCGCGGCTTCAAGATAATGTCCTCGCGAATTGGGTCCACAATCCAAAATTTCATGCTCGACTCATCCATTTACTACTTTTTGGATTTACTCTCCGTACGACACATTCGGAGTAACAAAAAAAGAACGCTGGCAGGTGGGATGATTAATTAGTACAAGCATAGCAGTAAATATCTAAACAAAATTACTGACAGAAGCACTATCTACCATTTGATGGCAGTCCCAATGCGCTCACACGGTCACATTCTCATCTCCCAAACTTCAAGACTTTGTCATTTTCACAAAGCCAAGCATATTCACGCTCCCGGCTTTCAAACTCTTCGTAATATTATGCCCCTCGTTTTGACTGATCCCTTCAAGTCTTTGGTACTAGCTGTACGTAGCTCCCATGTACTTAGGACAATAAATAATTTGATGGGAATTGGGATACAGCTTTTTTATTTTTTTTAAGAATTAAGTTTTGCTATAGAGACTCAAAATATGAGACCAACTGGGGAGACAGTTAAGATGTCCCCTCCTATTGCATAATGAGCTGATCATCATTAAACTATGACCAGCTTATTATGTAATAGGAGGGGGACACCTTACATTCCTCCATGTTGGTCCCATATTTTGCGTACTTTGAGAATTTTTCTTAAGAATTAGTCTAAAGAGAAGAGAGTAATAGAGAGAAATGAATAGCCCATGGACCCTCCTGATTTGCATTAATTTCTGTGCATAATTCATTCCTCTCTATCTCTCTCCTCTCTTATAGAGTGCCCATGGGCACTCTATACAAAAACCGTAAATAAATCTACTTGAGTTATAGGATTATTGCACAAATAGCTAGTATATGTTTAGCTAATTTCATGGAAATTGGGATATAACTTGCCATTTCTTTAGAATAATTCACGTGTCACGCGGAGAAAGTGAACGGAACACAAGTGTCTATATTATAAGTACTTGGCCCATCTTCATTCTTTGATTCAATGTAGAGGAACGTGGCGTTCCTCTTAAATTGGCAATAGAGAAATATTGTAGGGCTTCTAGGCTCTATAGCCTATAGGTAATGAAATAGAGGGCCTACAAATTGATGGATGCATAGAGATCCATTTCAATCACAATCGCACCCTCTCATGTTTCCTAGTACTCTTGATCTTGATTGAAGGACGAGACAACTAATTTGAGGGAGTTGATGTCGGCATAGTTCTCAACAAAATTGAGTATAAAGAATAAAGTCATGTAGCCGATCCTAAAAATTTAGAATAAAGATTTCGATGTTATTGCCCTTGTTACATAAGGAGACTACAGTTATTATCAAATGCCAAGAATTGAGAGCAACTTAGGTCAAGCTTGACCTCAGTGTCCATCAACTGAGTGGAAGTTGACCATCAAAAAGGAAATTCGAAAAAAGAAAAAAAAATTGTTAGCGACTCACAAGAAATGGAAAACTAAAAGCATTGTTACTATTGCGGTTATTTTTTGTTTTTTGTGTGACTTGACGGTGAAATGGGGTGATTTCTTTGCAAAACAAACAAAAAAAGAAAAGAAAAGTGGATAACGTCATGAAAGCTATTGAAATCATTTGTAAACTGAGTTTTCCATTTCCGGTTTTTTTTCGGAAAACAACCAAACAGACCCTAACATCGCAAGCCAGTCTAAATAGTAGTATTGGAGAAATCATGTACAATTATTTCCTTGAACTGTAGCCTGAGTAAATACAAAGAAGAAGATGGAATATTATAATATACTGTGAGTTTTCTTCTGCTCTCGTGCAAAGCATCAGTTCATAGCCTTTCCGAAAGAAGGAAAGAGAGCGTGGAGAGAACAGTGGAGCATGTGACTGACTCAATCCCTTTCTTAAAAACAAATTTACGAAGAAAAATACATTAGCCATACTACACAACAAGTACATGAAAACTAATAGCGCTATTTTGTCCCAATTTTTAATCAAAAGCGATGCTTCTAATCCAAGGATTAAGATCTCTGTGTTTCTCTCAGAATCTCTGTGCTTAGTTAATTTTTTTCCCTCGCTCTGTGTTGAGGTAATTTGATATGGGCTGGTGTAGGGCTGTCCATCCGGCCCGGCCCGGCCCGGCCTGGCCCGGAAAACCGGGCCCGGGCCGGGCAAAACCCAAGCCCGGACCCGGGCCCGGGCCCGACCGGGCCGGACACCGGGCCGGCCCGGATTTTTTTGTTTTTTTATTTTTTTATTTTTTTAAAAATTTTAAAAAACAATAAAACATAAAAATTATATTTATATAATAGTATATATATATTTATACTCTTATATAAATATAATTATATTATATGTACATATAAGTTTATGTTTATATATATGTATAGATATATAAATATATATTTATACTCTTATATGTATTTATACTATTATATAAATATACTTATATATGTACATATAAGTTTATGTTTATATATGTGTATATATAAGTATACTTATATACTAAGAGAGAGAGAATATAAATATATATATAAGAGAGAGTATACACTGTACACATATATAAGAGAGAGCATACTTATACATATATATAATTATATAAGAGATATAAACATATATAAGAGAGAATATACTTATATTTATATATACTTATATACTAAGTAGCCCAAAGTATTCATGTCATTCAATATATGTATATGTATATATATACACACACACTGACACACATATACATATATTATACATAAACAAATTGTAAATACTTATAGTAATTACATAAACAAATTGTATTATACATAAAAACACACACACATATAAACTTATATATACACACATATATTATACATATATAAGAGAGAGTATACTTATATATACTTATACATATATTATACATATATAAGAGAGAGTATACTTATACATTATACTTATATATATATATATATTATATATATATAATATATTATATATATATTATATTAAGAGATAATATAATAATAAGAAGAGTATACTGATATATACTTATATAAGAGAGTATACATCTTGTATACTTTATAGCATTTATACTTATCTATATATAAATAATATTTAATAAAGAAGGAAAAAAATTATACTTATATATACTTATATATCTAAGAGAGAGAGAGTTATATATATATATATATATATGATATATTATATATATATATTGTATTATTATATATTATGAGAGTATACCATTGTATACTTATATATGATTATACAATATATTAACAGGAGGCATCATTTCATACATATATATACTTAATAGGAGGTATACTTATTATAATTTATACTAAGAGAAGCTTACTATAATATATATATATATATATATATATTTATATATATATATATATATATAATAATATATATATATTATATATATTAAATATATATATATATTATATATTTATATTATATATATATAGTATATACTATATGAGAAAATGGAGAACCTTGGTACCCAAGGTTGCTCCAAACAATTTGTATGATGTGGCGTAAATTTAGTCCATACTCTATATGGAGTTGGTGAAGGGGTGGTTGGGCTCTGATCTTCGAGGTGTGATGTAGGGGCAAGATTAGGCACACTCCAGCTACCAAGTTGCTTTTAAGCACTTGGTTCAAGGTTTTCTCCATGATTTCTCCTCTCTCTCTCTCCTCTATATATAGTATATTTATTTCTCTATATATATATTATATACACAATATATATACATATACATATATGTTATATATAAGAAAATAAAAAAAATAAAAAAAATAAAAAAATTTTACTGTTCCGGGCCGGGCCCGGGCCCGGACCCGGGTTTTGCCCGGGTTTCCGGGCCCGGGCCGGGCCCGGGCCCGGGCACGACCGGGCCGGGCCCGGGCCGGACACCGGGCCGGGCCCGGGCTCCGGGCTTTTTGGACACCCCTAGGCTGGTGTTAGTCATACACGCCATGAAACAAAATGTTACGTGTTTTCAGTAGAGAACGCTGCATAAATTATTTCCTCACGAATTTGATCATATCACAGTCATTTCGGCATCAAATAACAGCTGTACATCTACGAATACAAGGAATATAATTTATCTTTTCTTACTATATCAGAATTTATCTACTATTAATGCACTTTCCCCTCAAAGATTTAAAGACATTACTGGACTTCTCTTTGGACAATATTAAAAGAGACAAAAAGAGCCGTTGAAAGGCTAACCAATAGTTACCCATTTTTAAATAAAAAAAATATAATTTCTTAGAGATCATTTATTAATGTAAGTAGGGAGAAATTCGTAAATGAACTATAGGCCAAATAGCATGTAGCTGAGATTTGGAATTTTGGAGAGCCTTGCCCTGTCTGTGGGTTGACCTTCAATCTTTTTCATCCTGCCACTTTATTATTATTTATTTCCTTCTTATTATTTGGAAAATAAAATAAAATAAATAAAATATGATTCTGTTTATAAATGGTTTTTCCCCCTTATTAATGGCAATAGTTCCAAGTGCCAGCACCATCTCTTTTGCTTTTCCTTTACTGCTCACCTTCTTCTTTTTCTCTCTCTATCTTCATCTCAAGATTTCCTCCATTGAAAACAAAGCTTCTTCTTTTTCAATGTTCTCTCTCTCAACAGAGACAGAGAGAGAGAGAGAGAGAGAGAGAGAGGGCGAGAGAGAGAGAGAGAGCTTGCTGAGTAACTCAATTCTCCCTCTTCAAACTCTCAGATATTAGGAAATAAAAGATCAGTTTCGGGTTCTTTTTTTTAATCAACATTGGGACTTCTCAGTTGGAAATCAGTCTCAGTGCAGTTTCACATCTTGGGTGTTTGAGATTTAACCGTTTCTTTCTGTAGAGAGGAGGCAAGCAGAGATTCTTTTGTCTTTTTTTTTGTTTGGTGAAATCATCAAAGAGGTATCTTTCCCCCAAAGTTTTGATTTTTCCCAGTTAATTTTGATTATTCAGAGGAATTGAGTATTTAGCTTTACATTGTGGCTTTGAATTTGATTGGTGGAGATCGATTGAATTTTCCTCACCCTTAATAATTGACTTTCATCATTCTGGTTGATTGTTAATTTGAGTCATCCATGGAACTGCGAGATGTATTATCTTGATGAGAAATGCCATTTGATTCTTTTTATGTTCTGTATCTTCAGTAAAATGTTTAGAATTCAGTCCTTTCCCTAGAAAGGGGAGGATTACATAGCTCTTTCTTTTACTGATTATATTTCTCTAATTTTTTTTGGATAGTTGTTTGCATTGGCGTCCCATGAGCAGAGATTTAATTGCAGTAAATTTTACTATATATAAAAAAAAGCATCGTTTGAAAAATCATAATAGCCAATCTGGATGTGATCTTTTATGAAATCTATATGAATTAAGCATTACCTGGACTATTTTCACTCGAAATTTAGCAGACAACTTGTGCATCATTATATCAAGAGGCAATTAGAGTTTGGTACAAATCGTGAAGTGTTAAGAGGGAGTTCTGAGCTTGATTAGTGATTGTGAGACTTGTATTTCTCTCACCTCTACACATATTTAACCATTAGTGACTTATGAAACCTGACATTTGTAATGCAATGTCAGTTGCATGATATGCTCAAGTCTCTTTTGGAATAAATTATCAGTATTTCATTTAGTGACTGGTGATGTGCCGTCTTATTTCTTTTACCACCATGACATTGACAACTTGGAGTATCTGCATGGTTATCTGAGCACTCAATTCACAATATCTATATTTTACTTGCAGTGTGTAATGTAAAACTCTGAATCATACATCTGATGCTACTTTCTCTTTGTACGCCAGAAATCAAAATGTCTAGAGATTTGAAAGCCGAGTTATCCAAGAAAACACCAGTCGTCGGCCTTAAACTCTGGGTCCTAATCGGCGTATGCACATTTGCATTCATTTTGGTCGTCCTGTCAGCAATCTCCATATGGGTGTCATGCCGGAGAAAAACAAGGAAAACCCATGACAAATTCCCACTCTTTCACATCCCCACAATATCAAAAGAAATCACAGTTGATAGATTTGCTGACCAAACCTTATCCCAGAGTTACAATTTTAGCGATAATGATTCTAGAAAGGGGCAAGCACATCTCGCAATGAGTAAATCAAGTGATGCTGATAACTTGAGTCAGTGTAGCTCGGTTTACTATCTTGAGCGAGCTGGGAGTTCAAATTCACAGGATATTGACAGTAGCTTAGGAGCCACAAAGAGGCCATATTCTCCATTAGTTGGTCTTCCTGATAATTCACATCTCGGTTGGGGCCACTGGTTCACTCTCAGAGATCTTGAATATGCTACTAATCGCTTTTCTAAGGAGAATATCATCGGTGAGGGTGGATATGGAGTTGTTTATAAGGGACGGTTGATCAATGGATCTGATGTTGCTGTGAAAAAATTGCTTAATAATATGTAAGTTTTCCTAACTAGCTGATTATTTCTCAAAAATTTTTAGAATTAATTGCATAGACCCAATATAGTTCTATTGTTGCAGATAGACTCTCCTGGGTGAATTTTTTAACTCTCCTTTTCTCGTTAGGTCTATTTGTCAAGAAAACAATCTTCTCTTTCTGTGGGTGTAAAAGAGTCAATAAACTTTCACTCAGGGGGGTCTATCTGAAAAAATAGAACTGCAGGGGATATATCCACAATTCGACAATAGTACAGGTAGTTTACTCATTAATTTTGATGCTTATGCTGGGAATTGCTTGATATTGCAGGGGGCAAGCGGAGAAGGAATTCAGAGTGGAAGTAGAGGCTATTGGTCATGTACGGCATAAGAATCTTGTTCGGCTTCTTGGTTATTGTATAGAAGGAATTCACAGGTGAAGAGTTGACTTGCTTTTTCTATTGTTTCCTTATTTGTACATACTTTTTTTCTTGAGAGAGATAGCTTATGGGTTCTTTTAGAACTAAGAGTCATCGATGCTTGGCCAACGTGAGAAGCCAAATAATGAAGCAAACTGTTATCTTTTACTTGAAGTTTAAAACTATTACAACAAATCTCATACTTATATCTCATATGCTGGTATTATGAAAAGCATATTTACTGCACTTGCTAATTTCCCACTTTATGTGAATTTTTGGGCTGGGTGTTTCCCATAATCTCAAATATGTTTCCAAGACAAATGTCCCTAGCAGTTGTCAGCTCTAGCAGAGAGGTTAAAAATAGACAGTTGACAGCTCAGAATCCAACCAACTTAATATCTTGGATATTTTATGAATGTGACATTACGAAGGAAACATTTCAAGCAATTCATGCACTAGGTGAGGTTAAAATTAGAAATTGAGGATTTAAATACGACATCGGGTCTTGATACTGTATTATAATACCTCTTAGTTGCCATGAGATTCATGTAAATGTCATAGTGAGTCTGATCTTGGAAAAGGTCATTTCATTTTTCTCCTGTACTTAGTTAACTACAAAACAGGAGAACATGCCATCTTATTGCTATACACTTCCATATTAATGTTGGCTTGCTAGACAAAGAGCAGTATGTGAGAAATAAAGTAGGAGCCAAATTTGCTTAAATTTCAACAATCTCTTATTACATTCCTTTTATCAGATGTCATAAATTTGGGCAACAGAGAAGTATAAATGACATATTACATTTTCTTACTAGTTTAGTTAACTAGATGTTTGAATTCTGTCTAGTCCTTTCATTGTTAGTGACTACCGCAGATGTTGCCTTGTCATACTTGAAAGTTCCTTGTCACGGACTAAATCAATACTATTTATTTATTTTTATTAGGATGCTCGTATATGAGTATGTGAATAATGGGAACTTAGAGCAATGGCTCCATGGAGGTATGCGTCAACATGGTGTTCTTAGCTGGGAATCCCGCGTGAAAATAATTTTAGGCACTGCTAAGGCGTAAGTCTTCATTTCTACTTCTAAATAGGGTCAAAAAAAAGAATCATTTTTTTTATTAATGATTTATCAAATGATTTTATTGCAGACTTGCCTATTTGCATGAAGCAATCGAGCCAAAAGTAGTGCACCGAGATATTAAATCAAGCAACATCTTAATTGATGATGAATTTAACGGCAAGATTTCTGATTTTGGATTGGCGAAGCTCTTGGGTTCGGGGAAAAGCCATGTTGCAACCCGAGTGATGGGGACATTTGGGTATGCGCCTTCAATCTTTTTTTGTGTTCTTAGAAGTTTATATTTGAAACATATCCTAAATAATTCCTACATGATTTCAGATACGTGGCCCCTGAATATGCAAATACTGGATTATTAAATGAGAAGAGTGATGTGTATAGTTTTGGGGTACTTTTATTGGAAGCTATAACAAGCAGGGATCCTGTAGATTACAAGAGGCCCCAAGATGAGGTAATTTACTAAATTGTAAATAAATTAGATATATTTCACAGGCAGTGCTTCCTCTTTTTCATTGTATCTAGCAGAGCTCTTGCTTTACGCAAATGCTAGGTTCAATTTGTTGACAAAAAGGGAATGCAGGAGTTATTGGTGAAATGAACACAATTTTGTTTTTCATTCTGCTTAGTTGAGAACTATATAATTACAGTGAATCTTTTCATTTATATGACTTCATCTCAGCTTAGAAATGGAGATTATGCATATATAAGAAACAGTTTAAAAAACGGAGACCTTGTGTATGTATATAAATCAAGGTATATGGAAACATTGCAAGGAGTGGAGAAACATTATAAGCAATGGAGACCTTGCGTGTATAAAAATCAAGTTATATGGAAACGTTATTCATATAATGATTCCATATTACTGTTTTATACTGGACATAAATCAGTCAAATTGATTTTTATACTTCCCTCCTAGATTTTCCTACTATCTAAAGTTGCATTAATTCTTATATCGACAAGATTGTCTAATTCTGGTTCTGTCTTAGGTGCATCTTGTCGAATGGTTTAAGTTGATGGTCGGAAACAGGAGAACCGAGGAATTGGTGGATCCTGAACTTGAGGCCAAACCCTCAACCCGAGTTCTCAAAAGAACCCTTATAGTTGCTCTTAAATGTGTTGATCCCGACTCTGAGAAGAGACCTAAGATGGGTCAAGTTGTCAGAATGCTCGAAGCTGAAGATAGTCCATTTCGTGAGGTTGTCAACTCTTAAACCTTATAAAAATAGGGTTAATTGCGGATAGGCCCCTATGGCCTATACTATCGTCTCATTGCTGATATAGGTACTAACTTTCCATAGAATTGTAGTGAACATTGTTTTTGTTTGTCAGAATCGAAGGAGAAACAGAAGGAGCCCTGCACCGAGCTTGGATACTGAGTCTTTAAAGGAGAGCTCGAGTTCTGTCGGTCTCGACAACAAGGAAGAAGCATCAGGTGCATTAGAAAGATAAGCGATGAGCGACATTTTACTCTTTGCTAACAAGTTTAAAGTATTTCCAAGGGGAAGTAAGATTATTACGGTCAGTTTTTGTTGGTTATGGGGTTGTAAGAGATTCAATGTCCAAGCTTCTTCCTCTTTCACTGTATAGGTACATCCTCTCTATTTATTTTAGAATCTCATGTGATTCAAATAAACATTAGTACTTTTGGCCTTTTTGTCAATTTCTTTCTACCTACTATTGCAATTGATATCAACAGAAGCATGATTAAAATGCTGCTTTCTTGGCTAGGTTCTTAATTAGTGGAAATTTAGCTGGCAGTTTTAAGTTTGGGGTGAGCATTTTGGCTATTTTTCCAGTTTAGACTGAAAACAGGCATAGGAGCCGCCTATGTTTATTATATCATGTCCATCAGTCCATCAATTACAAACCATAGGGATTAACATTTGGTTATGAAAGTAGAAAATGTTGGTGTGACAATTTAATAATATTTTTCATGCGTGGAACAAAAAGGAGGCATATCCTTTCAAAAAATGTGCTTTGGGGACTGTCAAAAACTTTGAGTTCCCATGGGTGTGACAATTTAATTAATATTTAATCTTTTATTATAGAAAGTGCAATTCGAGCCACGAGTCAGGTGTAAACCTCACGCGTGTTTATAAATAAATTCAAAATATAACCGAAAAACGTTTTCAAAACTTCAAAATATGTTCAAACCACAACCCCCAGCCTTACGCCTACTTTTTGAAACTAGGTACCTATCGAAGCCGTAATATTAGAATGCGTAACCGATGTTCTAGAAGATTAAACACTATTTATGCATGGTGCTCATAATTATAACGAAAAAATGTGGCCAAAATTGCAAATATGAAGAGAATGCTACCAATCTCCCCTTGTTCCTCCAAATTATGTTCCAACTACAACTCGCTGCTAATTAAGCTTATTGGTGCAGGTGCTACAACTCGATCGTTGCTAATTAACCTCGATTAACCCGGCCTCCTTTCAATCGTTATGAGCGTAAGTGCAGTCGCCAAAACCTGCAGTAATTAACAACTTCAGTTAGCTTAATTACGAAGGTCTAGCTCCAAGCATTAATTTTCTCTAAACTAATTTAATCCAACCGTGATCCAAACGATCTTACTCGGGTCGGTTGTGGCGATGAGTGCTGAGTTCTTGAAGAAGCAGTTCCAGCTGTTTTTGCCATTAGCTTGGTAGTAGAGATTCATTGCGATCGAAGCGTGAGACATGAGATTATCTGGCTTAAAGCAAGCACAGCCCTCTCTGATGATGCCGCAGTCCACCTGAGAGCATGCATAGTTGAGGTTCTCCCACAGCGTTGCCTGACTGGACGATGGTTTTGCGACACACCAAGTTTTCTGTAGCAAATGACATGTAGAATATTAGTCATTTTGGTTCGGAGAAATCCGAAACTATGATTTATTATACTCTCAACTTTTTTTTACGGCTCGAAATCTGAGCTACTTAATTTACAGAGTGGTATCTTTTGAATGCGCTTATGATCGATATGGTTAGAGTTGGGTTGAAGTCTCGATCTTTACCAGAACAATAATCTCAAAATCATGGTAAAGACCGAGAATTATAGTTACAATCCTTTTAAGTCTTCCATCATGAGTGTACGTCACGGTATTTGTCAATATTTTTCAATAAACACTTGAACTCAAAAAAAGGGAATTGTTTGAGACTGACCTGCTCTTGGACCAGGCCTGAGCTTTCCTCATGCGAAAGAAAAGACCCCCCCCAAAAAAAAATGTTAGAACAAGAAAAAAGAAAAGATGGCAAGTAACATAAAATCTTACACGTGATTTCTATTGCAATTTATCCAAATATGTTAAAAAAAGAAAAAGAAAAAGAAAAAGAAAAAGAGGTAACCTGAGGTGAAAGGGATCAGTAGCATCAACATCATCACGAAGGAAATGGGTAGGAAAGAGGTGAGTGCTTCAGCCCTTCTCGCCATTTATCTCTACTGTGCCTAATGCTATCAATCAATCAATCAAACTGGAAATGAGACTAATTGTAGCCCCTAATTAATTATAAGTCGGATTTAGAGGAAGAACTTAAGAACGGCTCTTGGGCTTTAATGAAGGAATTAGAAACGTCAATTACAACGGCTATACAACTTCACTCAATGGAAATGGACCACGTGTCGTACGTTTCTTGTTGATGTCGAGTGGAGGTGGTGCAGATATCGTGACCATGTTTAAATACTCGAGTCAAAACTACTTTTGCTGCGAGTAACGCACCAATTAATGAGTTATCATGTGTAGTTGAATCACAATACTTATTAATTAATTATATTGCTTTCTTGCTTTGATTGGAGCCTCATGGTTTCATTGGTGTTACGGTAATTCACCAGACAAAAATATCAAGAAGCTATGTCTTCATCGGCCCAAAAGAGCTATGGTCCAAACCAGCTTAGAGGCCCAAAGCCCAACAAAAAACAAATCTATCGACCAGCCGAGCAAACGAGTCATCTTTGCGGACACGAAGTGCGGGGTCAGTCGACCACTCATGATCGAGACGACTCCTTAAGAGTCCACCCACCTCATGACCGAGACGACTCCTCAAATAGTCGACTCGACCATCTACTCGGCAGTCTACTCGGCTTGAAGCTCGCTCGACTGTCTGGTCGGCAAATCATAGGGACGATTCAAAAACCGACCCGTCTCTACTGAGGGGATAAGATCCAACTAAGCTCCCTTCAGATATACGTCAATCGACGCTACATTATTGATCGGTCATAAAGATCTCAACTCTGGCAAATCTCGTGCGTAGACAGCTTACTCTGCTCACAAGTCACTTCCCAGAGATTACTAAGATATTCTCTCATGTGCTCGAATGACTTCCCTCCCAGTCACCAGCCGACATCTATAAAGCGGAGGATGACTAAGCAGCCGACCTATCTTCCGCAATGCCTCATCTGTCAAATTCGGGATCTTATGGAGACAATCTCTCCTATGCTCGAATGATTGCCCTCCCAGTCGCCAGCCGACATCTGTAAAGCGGAGGGTGACTCTGCAGCCTATCTGCTCACCCTACAACCGCCCTCCTATGCATAGTTAGAGCCAAGGGTCAGCATCTCAGAGGCGATGGACTATAAAAGGCGGGAAAGAATGTAAGAAAGGGGGCTTCTTCTTCATTAAATTCCGGGGATCATTTCTCCCTCTTGATATACTTTTACTGAAAAGAGAACTAATAACTCTAAAAGAGTACCCCCAAGGACCTCAATGGTCCCGAGACTCTCCCTCATACCCCACTCAAGCCCACCAGCTGACTTGACCGTCGGAGGTACCACGGGGAAATAAGCTCTGCCCTCTTACGGGTTCGTTCTTCTTGTTTATGCAGAAGAATTAGGAATTCCAGTGTAATAATTGGGCATAAAGTCGGAGGAGGAGTCGACCCCCTCTCCCATTCTCTCCCTCTTCGTCGTCAGCGCGAAGATCTGAACTGTATCCATCAGCGGAAAGCTCTCATTGACTGTGTGATCTCAAACATCAACTGTTGGTGATGTATCAACCATGCAATTGACGGTGGAAAATAAGTCTTAATAAGGGTGTAGACGGGTCAGAGACGAATCATATATAATTTTTATCGTATGTGTTTATTAATTATGGTTACAAATACAAATATGGATGTCTTTATAGAGAATACTCATATACATAATCAAATATGGACACAAATATAAATAAGAAAAAATTGGTACAAAACGGATACGAGGAGAAGCGTTAAGATTCATGGTTATGTGAGACGATAAATGTTTAAATATAACATGTTGATGTTAATAATCACACAAGTAAACTAATATGAACTGAGTTGATTAGGGATCGTTAACTTCTCCGAATATCTGGTTTTGAGTTGAACTGTTCTTCCCTGCACAAATAGCAATCTGTAAGATGACGGAGACTGGTTCTCCTGTTGTTCCTCTGACGATCAAGTTAGTGATGCACTTGATTAGTAAAAAGATAAACTTTCTCAATTCTTAAGTGCTATAGAACAGAGAAAGATGCAAAGAAATTGCTTACCCTCACATTGGGAATAGTTTTTCCTCTTATAGCCATGCACGAGAAGTATTTTAGTCTTTTTCGGCCGAGTTTGAGCCGACGGCTGAGTTAGCGTCGACATTACAGGTGTCGGTCGTGGAATGGTCATAGAATGGGCGCGGTCACTTCAGTATTAATGAGATGAAATAGGCGGTATACGAAGCCGGCATGGTCCGATGGGTCATAAATAATGTTGGGGATGGAGAAATGATGGCGCCTGTCAAGCATTTAATATGATGTTGACGCACTGTCAGTGGGGGGTTCGAGGTCGGAGTTGCCTTTTGGCTTGTATCGAGAGGTGTCGAGAAGTACCGCCTTTCGAGTCGACCCAGCGAGATGCTGGCTAATTAGCTAATTGAGTGGACTTGCAGCGAGTCGTCTTTAATGAGAGGACCGATAAGTAACGTCATTCGAGTCGACTTAGCGAGATGTCGACTCGGTGAGTCGGCTAGGTCGGAACTCTGGCCGTCCCAAGTGTCCAGTTGACTGAATGGGGTGGGGGGTGGGGGGTGTATTTGCCTGTCGTTGGCAAGGGGCCATAATTTGGCAACTGAAAACACCATAACATAATATATTCTCAAGTGTCCATTAACATGTACATTAATCTAATGGTCAAAACAATTTCAATTATGTATTCAGATATTCTAAAACATATTTAAATATTTCATTTATATACATGTGTATATGTATCCATATCCTATACATATGTGTCTCACTTTTAATTCTAAATTAGTAGAATCAATATACATTACTACTGCATTCAAGATCGAATTTGATCGGTGTCTCCTCCCTATCTATATAACAGATTATTATTATTTCCCCCTCTCATTTAGAAACTTCCTGGACACTCTCAGAATTGAGAAATTATGCACCCGATATGTCGGATTCAGACATTGCTGCTCCAGAATAGGACCTTGGATCAGTTTAGCTCAGAGCAGAATGACGAATGAGACCCACTGAAATCATTTCTCAAATATTTTTACATATTTCTCTTGTTGGCTTCGACGAAGCTTCCTAGAAAAACTCTGAACCGAATTCTAGTCATAGACCGCACTGTCACATGCTACAATTTGTGCGGACGCGTTTACGTCTGGAGAGTACCGTCCAAAACGAAACAGACGATTTGTCAACTTTTGAAAAATTCCGCCATACCAATGCGCGGAGAGTCAACGACCAAAACCGGGTCCGCCAAATTTTGCACGTATAGAAAGCCTGGTGGCTTCACAGACAGGAAGCATCGATCGATGGATGAACGAAGAAGAGAAGGGGCGCAGCAAAGGGAGAGCACCGTGAGACACAAGGGACAACGATGGATATCGAAGAGGAAGAGGGAATGGAAGCAGAGGAAGAAGACAGCCGCGGAGATGAGCCAACATTGTATGTCCAGGATTCGACATTGTTCGGCCAAGTGCAGGCAGTGGACGCAGCAGCACTTGAGCTCTGATACCTACTGGGTTCGGGTTTTCGAGAGCATAATATTTTATCTGCTTTCCTTTGTTGAGTCTGTTTTCATTGTGGCCTTGCTCTGCTTCTTCTACTTTCGATACGGATTTCGTCTCTGATGCACATGCTCTGTTGTATATGTATGTTGGTTTTCTCAATGAAATTATCTATTCTTATTTCTTGATTTGTTACAGTTCGGTAGTATGCATGCCTCATATTCAACTCTGTGCCGAGCCTCCCCGGAGCTCAATGGCAACAGATGGCAAAATTACTTCTAGCTGGGTAAACTAAAATCTTACCTCTACGCACAATCCCAACTGCATACTCTGATTCAAACATAAGCATAAAGATCCTTCAACTTAATGAAAACACAAATGCGGAAATTGTACATAACCGTTGTACAATGTAATCCATCTTTCAACAGTGAGATTATTTTTTATTGTTTACAGGTAGAGGATATTCTGTACAAATGAATGAATGGAAACTTTCATTACTAAAATCAAGTATTTGTATCTATAATTCCTTTTTTAACATTCTTATCTAGAAAGTAGCTAACTAGTATCTGTACCTCTCAAAGAAAATTTCAGCTGAAGCCATCCGTCAAAAATCGGTAGCTACAGTCCTGATGCAACCCATCTTTAACGGTAAGAAGCAGACATTTGCTTATGTTGAATTCTTAGTATGGTGCAGAGAAATGTAACAATTTATACACGAGTTGCAGCTGCCCTTGCTCTAGCTACAGCCTTCTGATATAATTCTTCATACTGTTCAGCTGAAGAATCCCAACTGAAATCTATTCTCATTACCTTCTGGACAAATTGTTGCCAGATTTCAGACCTGTTCTTATAGCAGTCGAATGCTCGTTCCATTGCACCATTTAATCCCTAAATATGGCGAAGGATGAAAGAAAATCAGACTGTATAACCTTCAATTGGTGCAGCAATAGTCAAGACAAAGTTGGAACAAGCATGTCAAGAGAATGAAAACCAAAACAAATAATCACTAAAATTATTATATCTATTAATAAAGTTGTTGTAGTAATTCGCTACAAGTATTGGAAACAAGCTGTACAAACGATACTCACCTCCTCATTCGGTGTCAAAAATGTGAAGCCATTGCGGTATTGGAAAGGAATTGTATCATCATCAACGTCAAAAACACTTCAGGTAGAAAGACAAATTTATAAATGTAATTGAAGAAAAACCTTATGCATGTGTACCAATACACATTACAATGGAAATAGATTACTCACGTGTCATTCAAACCACCAGTTCTTCTCACAATGGGAACAGCGCCATATCTCATAGCTATCATCTGTAGCAATTCAGAGAAGACTGCTTGTTAGCATTCAGATTCAGGTTCGAACGCCCATCATTTTCTCTATTCAAATCAGGAATTACTAGATCATAATATGGGTGACCATGTATGAAATGTTACAGCCTAATTTTGTTTGTGGGCAGCAAGTTATTAGCAAGCATATTGACCCATCATTATGTCACTTGGAACTTTCCCTTATGCTCATCTCTAGTGGTGCCTTTCATCACTCTGTATTTAACGAAACAGGTGGTCCTGCACCATCTTTACCTTAAGAAAGAAAGAAGGGAAAATGTAACGCACTTTGTTCAAACCAACATATGTGAAGTAAAAGGAGTTTGAAGAGAAATGTTGACAGCTGCATTGAGAAGTTACAGGAAGGTCGCAAGTTCAAGCATCTATTGCTAACACGAACAAACATGGGGGACTCTCTAGGATGAGGGTCAGGAATTGTACCTGGACATAAACTAAAAGAATGATGCTCTACTAGCAGAAACAGTTGCAGTTATGAGCACATTGCCCACCAAAGTGCAATAGAGTGAGATAAATACCTGAGTAAGACCGCATGGCTCAAAAATTGATGGAACGATGAACATATCACAAGCTGCATAGATTGAGTGCGAAAGAGCTTCATCATACTTCAGCAACAATCGGACATCAGGATGGCTCTGAAATTGTTTAGCAATGCCCTCAAATTCTCTCTGCGTGATAAGATAGAGTTACTCAAATGTCAATTACTGGAATGATGTCATTCAGTACCACAGCAACAGGAAAGATAAACAACACTGTAGAATGCAAATGGAAATATACATCTGCTTTAACACTGTATAGTACAAACTGCAAGATCTACAACAGATCAGCTAGACCGTAAAAGCCTAAAAGAAAAGACGGGTTAACATGGCAATACCAGATCCTAAATCATTACACCACCATACATATTTGGATATTGCTCCTGAATACGAGAAACTCAACTTTCAGGATTGGAGATCAAAATTATTTTATAATGAGAATGAAATGAGTTCTGTTTTTTTATTTCTTTACACGACCTTAGAGATCTGTCAATTCAATAGTATTAGCAAAACAAAGATAGAGTACGATGTTCACAGTCCACATACTAAGAGCATGTTTGGCTAGTGGTCACTGTGGCTTATAAGCCATTTTTGTGGCTTATAAGCCATTTTTGTGGCTTATAAGCCACTTTGATATGTTTGGCAAGTTTATTTTGACTTGTGAGCCACCAAATAAATAAGCTAGAGTAAATAAGCTAGAGTACCCTATCTTATTTTTTGCTGACTTACAAGCCACAAATTTTGCCCAAGTAAAAAGATCAACATACCCCTCACCATTTCATAAAATTCCAAGCCCCGTTTCTCTCTCTCCAACCCCAATAAATGTTTTTTTGTTCCTTTAGACAAATATGATGGCTTATAAGCCATCTATTTGTCAAACACTCTACTATTGAAAGTGGCTCATGATCCACGAAATTTACCAAACACTTTAGCTTACGATCCACTTGACTTATAATCTATTTATGAACTATAAGCCAAGCAGATTATAATCCAAGGTTGCCAAACATACAGTAATTATAACTGTACATTGTTCAGCCAAGGTATCAGGGATTTCACTAATGATAAAAGTACAAGATTATAAGAGACGCGCTTTACAATCATATCATTTCTCACCCTCTCGTGTTTGTCTTCTCGTCCAACCATGAGATGAACAAGCAATGCATCAGTCAGACCATAAGCACCATAAGCAATACTGTATGGTGCAACTAGAAAATCTTATCATCTAAATGTAGCTTACTTAACTAGATGTTCCTTACCATAAGCACCATAAGCACTTGTTTATTCAGATTAGGATTATGTACCCCAAAGTTAGAGATAACCCCAGGTATCTCCTCATTGGCTTTTGACTATTAGGGAATCTGTTATCTTCTCGGTTTTTCCTGTGTTTGGGGTTTAGTATTATGGTTGCTACGATGGGGAGGGAACTGTTCCGTACAATTTACTCGATCAAAAGGATGAAATTTAAACTCAACAGAAGTCCTATATTACGCCTTTAACATCAACTGCAGTTAAGTATAGAGATGTGTCATACTAACCTCTACAAGTATGTACCATAGCATATATGTCCATTCCGAACAGAATGTGATAAAATATAAAAGTTATGATGCATACATTTTCTTTGGATCCAACACCAGCACAAAAGATCATCATTAAGAAAGCATTTAGCAAGAGAACAAAATGATTGAGCACTGGGCACAAGTTCACAGGTACAAAAACATGAATAAAATTTACTAAAGGAGGAAATAAATAACCATATTGTAACACCCAAAGAAGTGACACAAGGAAAACTCAGTACAATGAAAAAAAAGAAAGAATGAAGCATTACATTAAGCTGTGACAGTAAAGAAAATGCTTAGGAGGGGTAACCAAAACACGCTGAATTTAATAAAACATAAATGCCAAAAATCACTGAAGAAAGCTGGGAATTACCTGGATGTGTGGCACTGGACTTGAACCTAGGAGTAAAAATTGTCCTCCCAGCTCCAATGTTCGATATATTGCATGCCTAATTAGATGCACACCCTTCTGGGGTACCAGCCTTGTGATGCAACCAACCTATTGCATGAAGAATTAGAATGTATTGACAGTTTATACCAGAAAAAGCAAGCAGAGCCACAGTGACCAATGACTTCGTGACCGAGGTTTACATTTATAGTATAAATTATTACACAGTGCTCAAGTAGAAACATGAACTGCAAAATGCAGATAATTATTACACGGTGCTCAAGTAGAAACAAAAACTGCAAAATGCAGATAACTAAATTCAGCAAATAGATCATCACGGAAAATATGCCCTTCTCAACTTTGACGTAGATTTTCTTGAAGGAGAAGACAGCAACAAATATTTTCTACATACACTTCTTATGAGAAACTTATTAAGGGAAGTTGATAGTTTGATGAATAACAGAATAACATTGTTCAAGAATACATCCATCTAACTAAAGCCTATATCCATGGGGTTTGACACATGAACAGTTTTTTTCCTATTTAGCTTGTTACAGGTCATTGCCTCTGGTTATCAGCAAACTAGTATCTCTTTTTCCTGCATCAGGCCATGCCCTAACTACAATCAGCACACGTCTTCATGGACCTCAAGCAACATTCCTCGATCTAATCTCAATTAAAGCCAAGGTTACAGAAAGCACTAGGCAGCCTAGGCACCATAACTAGAGGCTAGAGTTTAGGCATTCAGTTTCCCCCTTTTTTATTTTTTTTAGTTACAATAATTGATAATAAATGTCAATGTTGTAGAAAGCGCTAGGCGCCTGACTAGTAGAATTTCTCTATTTATTTAAGTGGTGGTGGGGGAGATTTTGCTGAAGGTCGGAGGAGGTGTTCATATTTAGTGGAGGTCGAAGGAGTTTAGAGGAGGTTGGAGGATGTGGAGCCTAGAGAAAATCATGACCCATACCTAAGTGGCGCAGTCTGGGTAGGCAATACATGCTCCCCTTGGCACTCCCAAGACCTAGACGGGCGGCCTAGTTACCACTTAGACTTAGGCAGACGCCTAGGAGGGCTAGGCACCCACATTTTAAAATATTGAAGGAAGATATACTGAATTGAAGCTACATATTCTATAGCCATATAGTACTCCAGATGCACTTCCCCATTTAGCTATTCCAATTTGATTTCATGAACAATATTTGCCTCAACCTAAATATCACATCAACATGGTGAATAAGTGATCATAAGGTAACAAAAATGACAATTTAACCATGGAAGATGAGATGTAGTAGGAGCATAGAATCAATTGTCGCTTCATCACTTGCTCATACTGTCTGCTTCTCACCCCCATAAGACTAGAATGACTTTCAAGATTCTATCAAATCCTTTAGATGGAATATACAGGACCCTGACCTATAGTGGACCTTCAATCTGAAACTGAATTGCCAGGTAGAAGCAATGTTTTAAATATCGGCCGATAAGCCGATATTATCGGCAATTTATCGGTTTTGGGGGCCTTCTGCTACGATAAGTTCGATTCTAAATCGATTATCGTTTTTGGATGCTTATCGTCGATAATGCGGCGATAAAGTGAGTATCAGCCAAAAAATCGGAATTATCAGCCTTTGGTTTGAGTTTTTATTTGTAGCAATAGACACCTATTCAATGCACTTTAAACCCGACTCAACCCGAGTTTCTACCATTGGGTTAGTGATTCTAAACATAATTATTTATATTCTGGTATGTTTACATTTTATTAAGTATGATTAGATTATATTTAAGAATATTATATTATGTATACCACTATCCGGTATTGTCACCCCGATAAATACTACTTATCCTTGATATATCCCCGATATCTGCTATCCGATATGAATTTTGACCGTCTGATAAATCCCCGATAATCGATTTTTAAAACTTTAGGTAGAAATCCAACAGTGCTCAGATAACATATGTGCAACACCCATCCATGGACTTACCAGGAGGCCATACCATTTTGTTGATGTTATTGACATCAATGACACGTGGATTCTCTTAGCATAAATTGCCACTCTACTATTGACGCTCGAGCATTATGCTAAGGAATTTTTATCAAGACAACTCCCCCAAGGAGTGCTAGCTATGATTTGAGAGTACAAAAATTATAACATAATCACGACCCATATCTAATGTGTACCTATTTTATATAGAAGCACTTAAATGTTCTAAATACTTACTAGTACAATTTTTAATTCATAATTGTGCTTTGTTACAAGGGTTATACGTTTTGAAATTTCGTTTTGATTTTGTTTCAATTTTCCATATCTGCACACCAAATACATGCTCCTAGGAATGTGGAGAAATTACAGTTGTTATGCCTCCTTTGGACATGGAAATAGATTAAATACACTGTGCTTACATAAGTAATGTGCAAGAAATTAATCTATTTTATGTGGTACCAAATAATACATTTCAACCAGAGGCATTTGTTTATTAAAAAGTGCTTATATTGGGTAATGCCCCCCATAATATTCACTAAGAAAAGATCTCAAAAGTATCCATACATTTCAAAATAACCTTTTGGTACTCTATACAACAGCAGATCCATATGTTTTTAGAGGGTTAATTCCCACAAAAAATGCCTGAACTTTTGAGGGATTTTGCACTAAACTATCATGACCTTTATAAATTCCACTAAATTAGCATCTATGTGCATCCTCTGAACATGGAAAGAGATTAAATAACAAATACACAATGCTTATATTGAGTAATGTGAGAGGAACTAGTCTATTCTATATGGGATCAAAGATAGATCTCAGCCAGAGGCATTAATCAATTAAAATATTAGGTAATGCCCCATTATAATACTCACCAAGAAAAGATTCTGAAAAGTACTCCTTTTAAATGTACTCCGTACAACAGCACCTCCGGATTTTTTTTTGAGAGGGAGGGTGTTGAATTGAAAACCTAATCTTATTACTGAAATCTCTTAGGCTTATATAGGCCCTTACAAACACAAACTTACAAATAACCCCTTTCATATTATTAATATGTCAATCCTCCTCCTCAAGATGGGCGAAAGATATCCACTAAGCACATCTTGTCACATCCTCTAATCATATCTATCGAGCTAAGTCCCTTAGTCAGACAGTCTGCTGTCTGATCCTTAGTTGGAATATGACTTAACTCTAGTAGTTCACTGTCCAACTTCTCTTTGATGAAGAACCTATCGATCTCAATGTGTTTGATTCTATCATGCAGCACTGGGTTGTTGGCAATACTAATGGCTGACTTATTGTCACACCACAGCTTCATCTTGGTTCCTTGATCCAACTTCAGCTCCACCAGCATACTCTTCAGCCACAGCAACTCCGCAACTCCCAAGGCCATAGCTCTATACTTCGTCTCAGCTGTCGATCTCGCTATCACTGACTGCTTCTTGCTCTTCCACGAGACCAAATTGCCTCCTATAAAGATGCAGTATCCTGAGATGGACCTCCTGTCATCAGCATAGCTAGCCCAATCAGAGTCGCAGTAACCCTCAATGCTCACGTGTTCATTCGTCCTGAATATCAACCCTTTTTCGGGGGCACTCTTTAAATACCTCAGAATCTGGTACACTGCGTCCATATGATCCTTCCCCGGATCATGCATGTAGCGACTCACCACACTCACTACAAAAGAGATATCGGGACGTGTGTGACTCAAATATATCAACCTGCCTACCAGTCTCTGGTATCTGTCACGATCAACTGGTTCTCCAACCTCGGCATCCAGTTTAAACTTTTAGTCGATCGGTGTAGTTGCAGGTTTGCACCCTAACATCCCTGTTTCTTTGAGAAGATCCAGTGCATACTTCCTTTGGGATAGGACAATCCCCTCCGCTCCTCGAGCTATCTCTATTCCAAAAAAGTATCGAAGCAAGCCAAGATCTTTCACCTCGAATTCCTTACCCAGTCTCACTTTGAGTTGGACAATCTTCTTCTCATCATCCCTTGTAATAATCATATCATCCACATATACCGCAAGCATGGTAATGTGGTCTCCACTCCGTCGAAAGAACACGGTATGATCGGCGTTAATCTGTTGGTACCCCATATCTATCATAGTCCTCCTGAATCTGTCGAACCAAGCACGAAGAGACTGCTTCAGCCCATAGAGACTTCTTCAATCTACAGACCTTGCCCACTATCTGATCTGTGTCGAATCCTGATGGTATCTCCATGTATACCTCTTCCACCAGATCTGCATGAAAAAAATACATTCTTCACATCTAGTTGTTGTAGCTTTCATACACCATTTACTGTCAGAGAGATCAAGATCCGAATAGTGCTCATCTTCGTCACCGGTGCAAAAGTCTCATCATAGTCGATGCCATATGTCTGACTATACCCTTTTGCCACCAGACGAGCCTTATAGCGCTCAACCTATCCATCTGGATTCTGCTTCACAGTGAAGACCCACTTGCATCCAACTGCTCTCTTCCCTTCTTGTAGTTTTACTAACTCCCAAGTGCGGTTCTTATCAAGAGCCCTTAGTTCCTCGTGCATAGCCGTTTTTTATTTTGGGTCCTTAGCAACCTGTCAATTGTTAGGTAAAATAACAGAGTCCAATGATGCAATGAATGCTCAATGTGCAGTAGAAATGTTAGAATATGATACAAACTGAGCAAGATCTCAACCATATCTATCGAGAGGATTTCCCGCATTGCTGCGAGTAGTCCTCTGTACTGATATTGGTGTGAGAGGAGTAAGGAGAGGAATGATATCACCTTGGGAGGAATCTGGTGGTCGTGTGGGTGTCTCAAGAGTCGAGGCAGGCATTGGCAATGGACTTGGCACCAGTGACACTGTAGGTACTGTTCCTGCAATCTGCTTCCCCTTCCTACTATAGGTAAGTAGCTCCCCCTGAACCGTGAGCCTAACACCTCTTATCTCCTTCTCTTCTTCTTCTTCATTCTCCTGCTCCTCCTCAACCAATTCTCCCTCTCAAGGAATCGATAGAGAAATTGATTTCTCGATATTATTCTCCATATTGTTCACCTGCCTCTCACCATTCTCCCCCTCTCGCCTCTGCAAAGAAGAGATAAAGAAAATTTGACTTTGATTCCTTTGATCTCGATTACAACTTGA